ATTTTTAATCCTAAACTGACATTACTTTATATAAGTCATTTGATTTTGTAGTAAATTTAACAAATAGTCACTTATTATTATATAAGATAAAAAATCTCGCATGTTTTTAAAACAACAATGACTTAATTCTAATCGTATCATAAAATTATTCAACATTTTAATTTTATAGTGTCCAAAAACGAAATAGGTCAATATTTCTATTGAATGTTTTGTACAATAACGACCTATCTTGAAATCAGTCAATATTCTGAAAAAATCTTTAAATGATACTCACCTCAATTTTTGTGCAACAACGACGTATCTCAAAATAAGGCAACGTTTGACACAACCTCCTCGTACGACTGCGGACGCAACAATGTATGCGTCGGTGTTGCATCCAAGAGGGGAAGCGAGGACCGTAGTGAAACAACGACACAAAAAAGTTATCTCTTAAATCCGCAGAAATAGAGGTGTTTTTAAATGTCACATTGTAGAGCTCCGTTTACAAGGTCAGTTTTTGACCGTAACTAAAAACTGACAAATTTTGAATTCGGTCACTGTTGCACTAAGAGTGCAATATACTTAATTTCCTATTGGATTCAAATAACATTCACTCAACATGTAAATAATACAATTTTATTGCATTTTTTTTACTTTATTTTTATGTTTTCGGATTTGAATAAATACATAATTTTCTAATCTATTTCTTTTTTATTTTATTTTTAGAATTCTAATTAACAAACGAGCCAGTTATATTTATTTCACTTAAGGAAAATATAGGATATTTTTAAGGAATAAACCAATTTGTTAACTTCAGGCCTAAAGATCCCATTCTCCTTTATTTTCTTCTTCTATACTAACTATGTTCAGCACTGGGCTTAGACCAGGCTGAGGTTTTTGATCCGGTTTCTTTGTGCGGAATTATAAGGTAGCTCGGGGCACTTGATACTGTTTGGCAGCTTGCTTTTTGGCCGTGCCGTTTTTAACTGCTTCCAGTGCATATCTTGTTCTTTCAGTGCGTCCAATTTATACTTTATGTTTTTTAATCTTTTTTAACTTTTGATTTCTTTTTCTTAATTTCTTTTTTGATTTGCGATTTATTTATTTTTGAACAGGTAACTTAAATGAATAAATTGGGCAACGTTCGGGAGCCTACGACACACCTTCTTGTCAAGTATACCTCATAACTTAAAATATAGCGTACCAGCACTACCGAGCATACCACCCATAGAATACTATAATACACAATAGAATGGCTGTCAACTTTATTTTATACAAGGTGTGTTGACAGACTGAGTAAATTTACACATTTTAGACTTTTGGTTAATGTTCAAGATCATCACTAAATTTTAATACATATTTATTGGAAATGGTCGATTTGGTTTTTAAATAATGCGAAATTTTTAAACGATTGTAGCGTCAAGACACATCTCGTGTTGACATTTAACGTGTGAATTGACGTGTTAGTGACATTTTAGTAGTTACGCGGGCTCCGCCCACTCCCCCGTTCTATTATGTATGTATTATGGTATTCTATGATACCACCACTGTGTGTTGCCAGCAATGACATATGGTCTGTAATATCTGAGATGTGATCCTTCACTGCTGACTGTATCAAGATCGCTCAACAAGCTATGGAGAGGGTTAATCTTGGGATTTCGCTGTGTGATACGCTTTAAAAATGGTGATATGTGCAATAGAGTCAGAGTCGCCGACATAGCCCAACGGATTAGTAATCTGAAGTGGCAATGGGCCGGCCATATAGCTCGAAGAACCGATAACGGATGGGGAAGAAAGGTTCTCGTTTCTCGAGTGGCAACCTCGCACCGGTAAGTACGAGGTTACGAAGAAGGAGGTAAGTACGAGTAAGGCTGATCCCTAGATGGGGTGACGACGTGGTGATGGTATGCAGGAAATCTTTAGTTGCAGGTGGCTCAGGACCGTGCTTTGTGGTGTTACTTGGGGAAGGCCTATGTTCAGAAGATGACTTGCAAAGAACTGTTATGATGATGATAATGAAACATACACGTCAACAATTTCGAGCATAGTGCTTTCAACAACTAACTACATAGGTGTGACATGGACGTTACATATTATCCGTTGTCTTGTCTATGTTTAATTTAAGACTTATCCGTTAGAAGACACTATTGAGGTCATTGAGTATAGTACTTAGGTCCATCAGCGATTCTGTCTAATCTTTGTATCTTTTACGAAATTATAAAAAATAAAAATGTTTCGTGTAAACGTGTGAAGTTCGTCACGCGATGAGGTACCCTGCAGATTTCCCAGCGTCTGAACCTTCTTAGAAATGACATGAGTCTGGAAATGGTTTCTATTTATAACTTTGGAATGACAAACGAATTTACAATCCACTCGATGATGAATTGCTCCTGCATCCCATACATATCTTCGTGGTGTATACTCAGAGTATACGAGGACAGCACGCAATCGTAGTGTTCTTACATTGTATGTTTTCAGAATACGTAGCAAATAAAATTTTCAAAAAATATACACGATTTCTGCGTACTAGTCGTGTAAACTTTCTAACGCTGAATCAGTAAATTAGTTAAAAGATTATACAAGGGTAGAACCATAGAATACTATAATACATACATAATAGAACGAGGGAGTGGGTGTAGCCCGTGTAGCCACTAAAATGCCTCTAACACGTCAATTCACACGTATAAATGTCAACACGAGATGTGTTTTGACGTTACAATCGTTTCCGAATTTCGCATGCAAATTACTTAGTAAATATTTATATTTATTTTTGCACGCTATTAACAAAGAAATATGTATTAAAATCCGTCTGTCAACACAGCGAATCGGGTTTGTAGTAGTGAATAACTGATACGACGTAATTTCTTGTATGTGTGCTCCCGGCGATGCCTATCTTCGTACAAAATAAGGTTGACAAACATTCTATTGTGTATTTTAGTATTCTATGGATAGAACCGACATGTTCTGACATTGTATACATTTAGAATGTAAACGCGTGACAAGTATTAGTAAAGTATACAAGCTCAGAAATTTACCAAGTAAATGTCATTATATTAAAATATGCAACAATTAGTTATCAACTAATCATGTAGTTACTACTATTATGTCAATTTAAAGGTAACTGTTGAAATAATGAAGTACTTTATGAGAGACAAAATTATTTTTATTATAAAAGTATTATTTTTATTATAAAGGTACTTAAATCTTATTTATCTTCGTAATATGTACAATTACCTTCAACAAGAAATGCAATTAATTGTCAATTTGACTCATACTTTTTTACGGCATTCATTGTCATAATTTAATATAATTATGTGTACTTTATACATGTCGTAGGATAATAATAAGATAAACCGAATTTTCGGAAAAAATCTATGGTGATCGCGAAAATACGACTAATTAGAAGATTGGTCGAATCATTTCGACAGATTCCTAAACTGAATCAGCACGCCCCCACTTCGCATAGTCTTTTCTGCCCTACCCCTGGAGTATTTGTAAATCCGTAAGCGCGGAGTGAGAGCAGCTCGCCGGGTGACTGCGATTTGCTTGGCGAAGTGGCTGCACTTCCCGCAGCGCCGAAGTTGTTACAAAAGTAACTTCAAGGGTCAATATTAGTCAATAAGTATAATGTGTAAATCTACACTGTAAATTTTCTTTTATTTTTTTATTTTTATCACGGAATTATCACGCGAACATGAAATAATAATAAGTTTAATTATAATATTAGTGTTATTTTGTATAACATACAAATACTATCTAGACACACTAATAACATACACTGTTTCGCGTTTATGCTCAATGTATGGTTTTAACTATAATACGAGTAGTGGAGTGTGTTTTTCGCTCAAAGTTTAAGCGTACCTTATTGGAAAGTATATGCGATAAAAGCTTAATAACCATGTCATCATCATCATCATTACAGCCCTTCACAAGTCCACTGCTGAACATAGGCCTCCCCCAAGTAATGCCACAAAGCACGGTCCTGAGCCACCTGCATCCATCGACTTCCTGCATGTCTTACCAGGTCGTCACTCCATCTAGTGGGGGTCACCCTACACTACGCCTACCGGTACGAGGCTGCCACTCGAGAACCTTTCTTCCCCATCGGTTATCGGTTCTTAGAACTCTATGGCCGGCCCATTGCCACTTCAGCTTACTAATCCGTTGGGCTATGTCGGTCACTCTGGTTCTACTGCGGATATCATCATTTCTGAGTCTATCACGCAGTGCAACTCCGAGCATAGCCCTCTCCATAGCTCGCTGAGCGACCTTGAGCGTCCTCATACGGCCAGCGGTGAAGGACCACGTCTCAGATCCGTAAGTCATCACTGGCAACACGCACTGGTTATACACTTTAGTTTTCAGAGATTGAGGTATATCTGACGAGAAGATGTGTCGTAGTTTCCCGAACGCTGCCCAGGCGAGTTAAATCCGTCGATTGAACCATGTATAGTTTCTAAAAATAGTTATACTCATAACAAATTGAAACTATACGCAATCAGTCCCGACTTGTGCGTACTGTTGTTGTATACTTTCAATATACGCATCTGCGAGCGACTTCAAACACGAAATGTTAATGTCTCATGTCTTAGGAATCGAACTTTCTACCTAGGATGATACGCGAGGCTATTGAAATTAAAAAAACACCCTAATATTAATAGAGAAGATGGATGGGTGCTGCCATCTGCTTGTGATCCCATAATTAACAAAATTAAATCCAAACCCATACATATCACTCCAAGACTTAAGATACTGTAAGCTCGTTCTGCGTAGATCGGACCAAAAATTGATATTCGAAAACTGAAGGTAGCCAGGCTAACTATGACATTGGAACGTCAAACATCTCAGTCCCCCCCCCTCCCCGTGACCATAGGCGATGTAAAGCATCTTAAACGTCGGGAATCAAAAATAAGTTAAAATAAGGTAATCAAACGCGATAATATCGGTTTAAATAGTTTTATTCAAAGATAATTTAAATCCCATCAGATATTCATAATTTCAGGATACCCTCGCTCTCTTGATTAATTATCAATAATTGTTTTCTTGATGTTAGAATCTGATTCGTTGATAGTGGATTTAAGGTCTGTAATAAAAAAGAACAAGAATATTTAACTAATTAAATTTTTAAGACAGAGTCAATCATCATTCATTATTTCTAACATCCTATTAATATTTACAGAAGGTTTCACCATAAATTGCCTGACAGTGGATGTCTGGCACATATGCCAAGCTTGTCAGGTAGGTTCACAACCGTTTGCCTCGCCTTTAGCAGCACATCAAAGGAGTAGAGTAATCTGTCGCCGTATGTCTTTCCATCCGAATACAATCTGAGCGTCATCAAGACGACAGTGAAATAGGCTTTTGTTACGCTTAGATAGTGTTACGTTTTCCAATCTAAGGCTGCATCACCATTGACCACCAGGCGGGATCGCTGTCAAATACTAACTAATGAGAAGTTAAAAAAAATATTTTGAGTTTTTTTTTTTGGGGAAGATATTTGCCCATCTTGTGTTGCTGTTTCCTCTGCAGCTTATTGCAACACCACGGGACGATGTGAGGCAGTGGATTCCTTTCTGCTACTAAAAGGCGAGGGTTGGGTCAACAATATTGTGTCGTAGGGAATAATGGTAAGAAAATGGTATAAAGGCGTACGTAAAAAGGATATAACTCTTGCGATAAGTACAACGGCACCGTTAACATATTTGGTGATAGAAATAGCCAAAAAGATCATAACTACATGGTAAAGTGACGCTGCATAGCCATATTACGATTGGTCACACTGGTTACGTTCTCACAGAATAACAGCTTAATGCTGCTGTGTTTCTTATGGTGAGTGTAGAGAAGGGTCTTTGGACTTTTTTACTGGAAGCGAGTCATTCTATCTTAGTCCTCAGGGGTTACAACGCATCTGCCTTTTAATTCTTAATCGAGTATAAATGTCTATGGGCCACAGCATTCTGCTGCCATCAGGTCAACTGTGTGCTCATTGGTTACCTTTAATCTATAAAATATATAATACATACGTATAAACCATGCTGTGGTAAATCCGTCGTAGGACAATTTTAGAATGAAAACGGGTTCGTATCTCGGTCTGTCAGTTACAAATCCTTAAAGGCATGGTAAATTAATGGGGAAGCTTATACTTTTTATACACTGTTTCATCATCGTCCTAATCAGCATTGCAGTTCAAATCCATTGTTGAATGTAGGCCTCCTCCAATGATTACTTCGTTGTATTGTCGGCACTTTAATCGAATTATGACACACTTGATGGATTTCTTAAAGAAGATATCGTGTATATAGTGGCATATGAGTGAGGATGGAGTTGGAAATATAGCGCAATAGATTAGTAAGCTACGTGGTAGAGCCACGCTGCAGCTACATTAGTTGTAGCACGAATGGGCTGGCTCAACCGGAGAAGGACCACGCTCTCACAGAATACCAGCGTAAAATAGCAGCTAAAGGCTGTTGTGTTTCGTATGGTGAGTGTAGAGAACCATCTAAATCCTCAGTCATTCTTAATCGAGAATAAATGTAGATGTCTATGAATCATGGCTTTCACTTACCATCAGGTGGACTCATCGTGTGTGCTCGTTTGTCACCCTCATTCTCTAAAATAAAGCTTAAGAGATAATGGGCTTATAGCTGGAAGAAACGAAAACCGATGAGGAAGAAAGGTTCGCGAGAGGTAACAACCTGATAAAAGAAGCAGGATGACGATGGTAACCGATCGATGAATGAAAAAATTAAAAGACACTTACCTTGCACTTGAGATTTCACCTCACTTAAAACGGTATCAACAGCTAAAAGGCAATAAAAAATACGTTTTTGGTTAAGTTTTAGCGACTATGTATTTTTTTAATTTGAACTAAATGCAACCATCCCTCTACCATTCATTACAGCTTATAAAAGTCGACTGCTAGAACCCCCCCCCCCCCCCGGTGGAGAATTTCGCCACAGCTGCTGAGTTGTTGTTTCAACCGACTTCAAAAAATGAAGAGATTCTAAATTAGACTATTTTTGTGCGTGTTAACCTAGAACCGTTGATGATTGTTTTCTTATTTTAAAGCCGGTGTTTCTCATGTGGTCTCACCAGAGGAAAACTAAAACTGAAGATGGGCACCAGCATCTTCCTGATAACAACACAAAATAATAACAAGTGGTAAAATTAAACATTTTGTACAACCTACTTCAATATAAATAAATTGAGAACATCGTCCATGTAGTCAAAGTATTATTAAGGGTAACTAAAAACTACTGGTCAGATCTTGATCAAATTTATATGTGAAGCACCAGCTTTAATAAAAAAGAATCATCAAAATCGATTCACCTAGAAAAAAGTTCCAAGGTAACATACATAAAAACATACAGTCGAATTGAGTACCTCCTACTTTTTGAAGTCGGTTGAAAAAAGGCAGAGAATTTAGTAGTTTGTAGCTTTCCGAGGTTGGTGTTAAGACATAGGGTTACGAGGAATCACACGTAAATCTCCAAACTTCAGTTTTGATTTGTATTAAAAGTTAAAATGGTCTTAAGAATATCATCATCATCATCATCATCATTACAGCCCTTCACAAGTCCACTGCTGAACATAGGCCTCCCCCAAGTAATGCCACAAAGCACGGTCCTGAGCCACCTGCATCCATCGACTTCCTGCATGTCTTACCAGGTCGTCACTCTATCTAGTGGGGGTCGCCCTACACTACGCCTACCGGTACGAGGCTGCCACTCGAGAACCTTTCTTCCCCATCGGTTATCGGTTCTTCGAGCTATATGGCCGGCCCATTGCCACTTCAGCTTACTAATCCGTTGGGCTATGGCGGTCACTCTGGTTTTACTGCGGATATCCTCATTTCTGAGTCTATCACGCAGAGAAACTCCGAGCATAGCCCTCTCCATAGCTCGCTGAGCGACCTTGAGCGTCCTCATACGGCCAGCAGTGAATGACCACGTCTCAGATCCGTAAGTCGTCACTGGCAACACGCACTGGTTGTACACTTTAGTTTTCAGAGCTTGAGGAATAGCTATGTAGACGAGAAGATGTGTCGTAATTTCCCGAACGCTGCCCAGCCGAGTTGAATCCGTCGATTGACCTCTCGGTCGAAGTTGGACTTACCTAGTCGGACTATTTGTCCCAGGTAAACGTACTCGTCAACAACTTCGAGCATAGTGCTCCCCACAACTACCGGCATAGGTGTGACATGGACATTGAACATAATCTTTGTTTTGTCCATGTTCATCTTAAGACCTATCCGTTGGGAGACACCATTGAGGTCATTGAGCATAGTGCTAAGGTCCTCCAGCGATTCTTCCATAAGGACTATATCGTCGGCAAATCGAAGGTGAGTGATGTACTCGCCATCGACGTTAATACCGTATCCTTTCCAGTCCAGTAGCTTGAAAACGTCTTCCAACGCAGCGGTGAAGAGTTTCGGGGATATAACGTCACCCTGTCTTACACCTCTCTGCAGTTGGATAGGTTTCGAACTCTGGTTCTGTACTCGGATAGCCATCGTAGCCCTACTGTATAAACACTTCAGCACTTCGATATACCGACAGTCAACTTGGCACCGCTGAAGGGACTGTAGCACCGCCCAAATTTCGACGGAATCAAAGGCTTTCTCATAGTCCACATACGCCAGGCAAAGTGGCAGATTGTACTCTTCGGTCTTCTGTACAATCTGCCGCAGGGTATGTATGTGGTCTATGGTACTGAAGCGTTTTCGGAAACCGGCTTGTTCGGGAGGCTGGAAGTCGTCGAGTCTGCGTGCGAGACGATTCGTAATGACTCTCGAAAACAGCACGTAGACGCTGAAAATGTACAGCTGCCCATAGAACCTCTCAATCTCACTCAAAATCTCAGGTGTCCCGGAAACGATGCTGCCACACTCAGTCTTCAGCTTTGACAGTTAGCTCTTTCTGGCAGACAGATCTCTGGCAAATACTTTGGAGCCCTGGTTCCGCTCGATCGCTTCTTTAATACGAGCAGTATTAAAGTTGCGTAAGTCTTGCCGCATGCATTTGGAGATCTGTCTGTTCAGTTGCCTGTATGCTGTCAAATCTGTTGACGATTGCAGCCTCATCTCCCGTCTAACAGCCATGAGATTAAGAGTGTGATCGGAGAGTTTTTGTGTTCTTCTGCGGCGGGTCTTGCAGAACTTAGCTTCGACCGCATGGACAGTTTCCACGAGCTTGTCATTCATATCGTCCACTGCATTGCAATCTTGTAGGCACTGAAAGCGGTTACGTAACTCAAGATGAAAAGTCTCGGGATTCTGGATCAGAGCACGAGGGAGACGGAGCGTTGACTTCATTAGACGAGACCTCTCCAACTTAACGTTTAGGTACAGTGTGCCTCTAACCATTCGGTGATCGCTGCCGGTTTTCACCCTTGCGATCACTGAGACATCACTGAACAGTTGGCGTCTGGTCGTCATAATGAAGTCAATCTCATTTTTTGGGGGCTTTACCAGGTCCACTTCCTGTGGGGCCGCTTCTGGAAGAAAGAGTTCATCATAAAGAGTCCCTCTTTCTCCGTAAAGTCAGCTAACTGCTGGCCCCTACGGTTCCGTTGCCCTACTCCAAATTTCCCTAACTTCAGCTCACCGCCTTCTCTTGTGCCTAGTTTTGCGTTGAAGTCTCCCATCAACACCGTGTAGTGGGTTTTGGAGGAATGCATGGCTCTAGAAATATCCTCATACATTTTCTCCACCTCCTCATCGGGATGTGCCGAGGTTGGTGCGTAGACCTGTATGACCTTCAGCGAATACCGTTTGGTAATTCTGAGTATCAGGTACGCGACCCTCGTCGACACACTCCCAATCTTTACAACGTTGTTGACGAGAGACTTGTGGACGATAAATCCGACACCTCCTTGGGACAGATGGTCGCCCTGCCGGTGATAGAACAAGTTGCCGGACTCGAGGATTACCGTGTCCTCCCCCTCTCTTCGGACCTCAGATAATCCAATAATATGCCAGCGCAACTTGTCTACCTCTTCTTCCAGCTCCAGTATCTTCTCGTCAGTCCTCAGGGTGCGTGCGTTATACGTTGCCAGGTCCAGTCGTCGTAGGTGGCAACCGAACCTCCACCGGAGATTCTTAGCACCCCCTGCCCCGCCGTTACCATGGTCGCCACCGTAGCCAGGAATAGCGGGGCCGCCGGGGACTGGGGGCCATTTATTTGTGTCGTTGCTCATGGGGGGATATTTGCCATAGTTGCCACGCTTGGCGAGCGGGTTGGCAACCGCAGTGTTTTATTATGTTATTGTTGTTATTAGGAAGATGCTGCTGCCCATCTCCTTTCTGTGTCCCTCTGTCGCCTCTTACGACACCCACGGGAAGATATGGGGTAGTGGATATTCTCAACCGCCACTACACGGCGAATATCACAATATAATAACTAGAATATCGTATAAATATTTTAAAATTCTCATCCCTGCTGTGTAAACTACTTTTACACTACCAGTAAACCTATATTATGGCTGTAGAACGAATGGGTCGGCTCCCACCGAACACTAGCATAAAATAGCAGCTTAATGCTGCTGTATTTCGTATGGTGGGAACCGGAGACCATATACAATCAGGTGGACTGTGTGCTTGTTTTCATAAATTAGGGGCTATTTAGGTGCTAATGAGGTGCCAAGTTTAAAAATTAGATGCTCTAATATTTTCACCGCAACGAACTGTTGAAATTTGCGTTGCTAGCAAAACGTATCGCTAGCAACACAGTAACGATTATAGATATTTTTTATAGAAGAGGGGGCAAACGAGCATACGGTTCATCTGATGTTAAATGACAACCGCCCCCATGATCAACCGCACACCAGGGGAATTGCAGGTGCGTTGCCGGCCCTTTAGAAAGGAGTAAGCTCTTTTCTTGAAGGTCCCTAAGTCGTATCGGTATCGGAAAAATCGCCGGTGGCAAATTATTCCACAGAGAGGTCGTACGCGGAAGAAAACTCCTTGTGAAACGTACAGTAGTGGACCGCCAAGCATCCAGATGGTGTAGATGGTATCGAGACGTTTGCCGCGTAGTGCGTTCACGAAATTTGGCGGCTGGGATTAATCCAAACAATTTCTCAGAACACTCTCCGTGGTATATGCGAAAGAAAATGTAAAGAGCTGCAACATCTCTTCGCAGCGCCAGTGAATCAAGCCGATCGGAAAACACTCGGTCGTTGTCGATTCGAGCGGCTCTGCACTGGATGCGGTCAAGTGGAAGGAGCTGCCACTGGGGAGCCCCAGCCCGGAGATGGGAACTGTATTCCATGTGCGGCCGGCTTGTAAAGTTACAGTATTTCATGTCGGCAAACCGGTATGAAATACTGTCCCGCTCTGCTGAGCACGTCAAGCTTTTTAGAGGCCAATTTGGCCTTCTCTTCCAAGTGACCACGAAATTGTACGTCACTTGATATGTCGACGTCGAGGAATCCGATACTGGCTGAGGCAACAAGGGGAGTGCCTTTAAACTGAGGAGATACGACACAGGGGTTCTTTTTAGCAGTTAACGCGCAAACTTGTGTCTTCAGAGGGTTAAACTGAACTAGATTTAGTCGCCCCTAATTCGAGACTTTGTTCAGCAAAGACTCGACTTCAAACACCAGTTTGTCCCGGTATTTTGAGAGGTTTTCCCGAGAAATATTGGCACGGCCGGTGTACAGAGCATCACCAGTGCTGGCATCTCCATAGCAATGAATGTTACGGGTTTGCAACATATCATTGATATGCAGAAGAAACAGCGTTGGTGATAGCACGCAGCCTTGTGGAACACCAGCATTAATAGGCTTGTAATCGGAACTTGCACCGTCTACAACGACCTTGATGCTCAGATCTGCAAGAAAGCTGGTGATCCAATTACACAATTTCTGGGGAAGCCCATAGGAAGGGAGCTTTGAAAGACGTACTTTGTGCCAAATCCGATCGAAGGCCTTCGCAATGTCCAAGCTAACGGCAAATGTCTCACCTTTGGACTCTACTGCCTCCGCTCATCTATGAGTCAGGTAGACCAGAAGATCTCCAGCTGGTCAACCACGACGAAAACCGTATTGACGATCACTAATCAGCTGGTGATTCTCAAGGTACCTCATGAACTGGCAGTTTACAATGGACTCCATTGTTTTTGAGAACAAGGAGGTGATGACGATAGGCCTGTAGTTGGACGGGTCTGAGCGGTTCCTTTTTTAGGGATCGTGTGGACGAAAGCCGTCTTCCATAATTTTCGAACTACGTCTAGGGAGTAGGAGTACCGGAAAAGACGCGTTAAGACCGCTGCCAACTCTGGAGCATACGTCCTCAGCACAATTGGGGGATACCGCCAGGCCCACTCGACTTGTGGATTTTCAGGGAGAGGAGTGCTTTGCGAACCGAGCACTGTGTGAACCGCATCTCCGGCATGGAGCACTCACACCGCGGGATGGACGGCGGCGTACTCTCCCCGTTATCGAGTGTCGAGTTGTACGTAAAGAAAGAGCCTAGCAGATCGGCTTTCTCCTCTGCGGCATGGGCCAGTGAATCGTCCTCCCTGTGCAGAGATGGAAGAGATGGCTGACAGGAATTTCCTTGGACAGCCTTGGCGAGAGACCAGAATGCACAGGTTCCAGAAGGAAGGCGAACTAGTTTCTTGCTAAATCTGCCTATGTGCTCTGACTTTGCCTTAGCAACGACTCTTTTGAAGGACCTGTAAGCGGAATTATACTTCTTTTTTAGAGCGCTGGTGTTTACATCCCGGGACGTTGATGCGTCAGCCCAGGCTTGGTAGCACTCCTGCTTAGAGCATGATGCTATTTTACAGGAGCGACCATACCATGGCTGAGATTTGCCTCCGATGGGCACCACAGAGTAAAGAATAAAAAGTTCCATACCCTGAAGTACCTCATCAGCGACAGAATCAGCAACAACGTTGGGATCGTCCGACGGGAAGCAAACCTGAGCAAAACCAAGGGTAGGATGCAAAGAAAGACCGCATACTATTCAAATCGGCTAACCTATAGTGCCAAACACGGCGGCAGCCTGCAGAATGCAACCGCGATTTCAGCGTGAGTGGCACTACACTCCGGATAAGACAATGGTCCGAGGAGCCTAAAGGGGTGTCGACGGAAATCTGATATCCATCCGGATGAGAGATAAGATATATACTAATAGCAAGGAATTAAGTGCTGCAAGTATAGACATTGACAAGGCACCCCTAATAACCATAAAGTCGTTATTAATAACAAAGCAGATGCAAAAAACAGGTCTTCTGATCAAAATAGAATTCTTCTGATCAAAAAAGAAGTAGAAATCGGAATAGAATCAAAATCAGGTATAGAATTAATTTGATAATTAAGTGCTTTAAAAACATAACTCGCTTTTTACACAGGAATGATAGATATATGGTCACTGCGTTGCTGGCGACGTTTTACCAGCAAAGCAAATTTCAACAGTTCATTGCAGTGAATCTTGTAGAGCGCCTAATTTTTAAACTTAACACCTAATTAGCACTTAAAAGGCCCCTAATTTTGGCTTTTTCTAAATGCAATTTCCTAACTTTACGTTGCTGGCGATACACAACTGAGCATTTGTGAGGTTCGATTGTACATACTTGAAACACTATTCTGTGGTTCTCTTGATGTCAAATCATTCCTGTCTTGGATTAAGTAGGCTTTAGTTTTATATTATTTCATTTTTACTAGCAAATGGGAGTAAAGTCCTTGTATTACTAACACAGATCCATGATGTTCGAAATAAAATATTTTTATTTAATATACTTAGTTTTATTTATATAATTTAACCTATTTATTAAAAAAGATATTTAAATCAGGTCTGCCGTTCCCAAAAGTCGGTAAACATAAACCAAAACAAATACGCGTTAAATGAACCTTCTCGTTTTTAACTTAGTTAAAAATAGAATACTATAAGAAAATCAAAATAAAAAAATGTTACTTTTGTTTCAAAGAGCAACACGGGCCAACGGCGGAATGGAGGGGTGTAATAATTACAGACAGTACTGTATCGGGGAAAAACGCTATGGCTACTGCCCTCCGGCCCGCTATTGGCCCGTGTTGCACTGTGCTTTTGTTCAATCAAAATGGATTCCAATTTTTTTTAAACTTACCTGTAAGAAATTCTTGCGCCACATCTTGAACAAATAAAGTATTTGATTTTAATAATTATAGGATGTAAAGCGCTTGCATTGAAATTTCATGGTATGTGAGTAAAGCGGCTAAAATGATTTTTTTTTGGAATAGGTGACAAGATGCTCGTTTTTCACTTTATTCCCATTGCAGCCTATCAAAGTCCACAGCAGAACATAGACTATATATATATAAATTACGTGTCACGTTGTTTTTCCGCGATGGACTCCCAAACTACTTAACCGATTTTAATCAAATTTGCACACCATGTGCAGTTTGGTCCAACTTGAGAGATAGGATAGTTTTTTTTTTGCCCATGAGTAACCCACAATTTTTTCAAGCTAGTATATATATATATATAAATATAGGTTATTTGGAATAGTTACTACTAATTTTGATTGCAACTGTAGCTTATTTATTTATGTTTAGTTGTTTTTAAGACGACGCTGATAGCATCCCTTAGTTTGTCTTGTTTTTTGTCTCTGTCACACCTTACGACACTCATGGGACAAAATGAGATAAGTGATTTTGAAACACCGCCACTATTTGGTGACAATGTTAATTGAATTCCTGCAGAAGCTGTACGAGAACAGTCGACGTAAAATATCTTATACATTATCTGTGCTACTCGATTAGTTGAGGTCGTCACTTGTCAAGGTCGGTGAGCAGTGGTGAAAATGAACGCAATCCGGCTGTTTGCAATTCATATTATGTTGTTACGGCGTCTTCGTATTAACTTACCTGTTTAATTTTATTCATAAATGTAATAACTTAAATTAAAAACTTTAAACACCCCCGAAAAAGAAACAGCTGATGATGTACAAACGGCTGAAAGATTTTCTTGAATCATAGCTAAGAAATCTCGATCAAGTCATCTTTCAATCAAAAAACAACTAAATGTAAATCGATTCATACGTTTGTGAGCTACGATGCCACGGACAGACACACAGATACGCACGTAAAACATGTAACACTCCTGTAATTGCGTGGGGGGGGGGGTTAAAAAGAGGGATAAAAGTGGAAAACTATCCCCGTTGATTTTTCTTATATCATCATCATTGTCATCATTACAGTCCTTCACAAAGCGCGGTCCTGATCCACCTGCATCCATCGACTTCCTGCATCTCTTACCAGGTCGTCAACTCCATCCAGTAGAGGATCGCCCTACACTACGCCTACCAGCTCTGCTCGCGGTGTCAAGTGTGGACGTACAACGAGCCTAAAACATGCAAATCGATGCATGCGATGCCAATCCCTTTGTGTTCGTCAAAAAACTGACAATAGGCGGAGCACGGTCGAGCACGAACCGAACGCTCCAAGCGCGCCCGTTCAAGGCCTGTAAGTCGTTCAATACTACACGAATTTGTGCTCGGCTCATGCTCTTCTCGTGGTCGGCTCCTCTAGCATAGACCCACCTTTATGACTGCCTTTGTTTTTATATATTTTCTACTGATGAAACACTATTGAATAAAAAATTGACCTGTTTTATAAAGAAAATATTTAAAAAGTATTTTTTTATAAGTAAATTATGAGTCACCACGGTTCATTAATACATTATACATAGTTTTAATTTTTATTATAGCATGTTATTTTTATAAGACTTATTGTTATTTCCTTTAATTGTAATCATATTTGTTCCTCGATGTAAACGTGTGTTTGAAAATGAAATAAAAGTTATTATTATTATTATTATTTATTTTTATCACATATATTATCACAAAACTATAATATTATAAATATAAATACAATCTATATAATTAATATTATTTTTTCGGTTATTATCCACCGCGGCGAGGAATTCTAAGCCATCGGTGAAGTTAGGCATCCAAAGATAGGAACCTTCTTACTATTCGAGCCGTATTTAATAAGGCCGATTTTTGAATTAATGCTTTCCGCCATTTGCCTAAACCTAACTTGGACAGATAATCGTCCATATTTTTACCAATAAGCCCATTGACTGAAACAACTATTGGTACAATAATAGTAGAATCAACGTCCCACATAGCGACAATCTCATAAGCCAGGTCGATATATTTAATTTTTTTATCATTCTCTGCTTTTACGAGATTCTCGTCATGAGGAACACTGATATCGACTATTATTGCCTTGCGTGTAGTTCGGTCTATCACCACAATGTCAGGTTTGTAAACGCTTTCCACGCTCTCACAGAATACCAGCGTAAAATAGCAGCTTAATGCTGCTGCCACATGTTGAGTGTAGAGAACCGGAGACCCTTTTTTCTGGAAACTAGGCATTCCATTTTGGTACTCAAGGGTGACAACGCATTTGCATTTTGATTCTTAATCGAAGATAAATGTAGATGTTTATAGGTCACAGCATCCACTTAGCATCAAGTGGACTGTGTGCTCGTTTATCCCCCCACCCCCATTTTATAAAAAACGAGAACTTCCTAGTTTATTAAAAGTCGGCAAAAACGTACTTACCATTGATTGATGATAGAATTGTTTTGACTGAAAATTAATTATTATTAATTATTAACAATATATTGTTATATTTATTTAGGACTTTAAGAAATAAGAGAAATAAATATTTCTAAGACGTGTGAAGTTTGCCAACACGCATTGAAGCAGCGCGGCGGACATTTCCTAAAAAAAGGCTTTTTTTACGTGGTAGAACCATACTGAAGTTATATTAGTAGTATAGTTGTAGCACAAATGGGTCAGTTCGACCGGGGCAGGACCACGCTCTCACAGAATACCAACGACAGATAGTAGCTTAATGCTGCTGTGTTTCGTATGGTGTGTGTAGAGAACCGGAGACTCTTTTTACTGGAAACGAGGCATTCCACCTAGGTCCTCACGGATGACAACGCATCTGCATTTTGTTCGTATCTTGTCTTGCCACAACAACCACTTACCATCAGGTGAACTGTGTGCTCGTTTGTCATCCTATACTACAAAAAAAAGGCCTGTGACTAGCCGTGCGACGTATATACTCGTAAGCTGTAACTTTGAATGATATCTAATCTCTTGGAAAAAATATAGTCCACTGAACGCTATAGCTATGAAAATAAAATTATTGCTTCGTTAAGTTTTGCAATATGTATAGTACGTGTGGTTAATATGGTCATCCGGTTAATATGGTCACTCTCTTATAATTTAAAAACTACAGCCTTGTTTGTATAGATGGCTCTGTGATACGATAGCTCTTCATCGGTCAATCAAATAATTAAGAGTCAAAAGGACGCAGCTTTATCGATGCCATTTTAACAGTTAATATTGCAGTAAATATTGAAGTCGATTTTAGTATGGCATAATGTAGTTAGTTCTCATTAAGTTAATTTTCGAAGTGTTCCTAATTATTACCAAAGCTTATTTACTATTTTTTTTATTAATATTTTAGTTACAGTATACGACTTTGTTTTTTTTGTTTCTATCCTTCTCCTAGTTTTGGTGTTATAGGGCGGCAACAAGGGGGCAAAGCTTAAGGTGGCCATTATAATGTCCTCCAGACCGAATTTCGGTCACGGCGGCCTGCCTCAACAGAGGCTAGCCATCGGCGCAGGACAGGATCATAGTGCCCAAGTGTATGCGCAAGCACAGGTGCACTCTCAATTCCCTCACTCTCGTAATCCGATGGGACGGTAAACCGACACGACCGGAGAGAGATCAGGCGCTGGACCAACGGCTTTACGTGCTTTCCGAGGCACGGGGGTGAGACACCGCCAACTTCCTGACCATATTACCCTCATATACCTTATTACTTTTAATTTAACATCCTTTTTAGGTAACTATCTTAATTTTTCTAAGGCATATCCAGTAGATATTATATCCGTAACCAGTACAGAGTAATAAACCACTGCTGAACATAAGCCTCCGCAATAGATTGCCTCTTATGGATATGTGCCATAGCTGCCACGTTTAACAGGCGGGTAGTCATCCCCAGTTTTTATTTTTGCCCATCACCTGGTTTTTTCCTCTGTCGTTCTTACGACACCCACATGGCGATATTGTAATGGATATTCTTACACTGCTTATAGCCGACGCAGCATTAAAGTTAAGTTTTTTTTAAATATTTATGTAGACAGACTATTTTGTTTTGTATATGGCGTACATTGCCGTAACGGACGCGCGACCGGTATAAAAGTTCAAAAATTTGACAGGTAGGGTTGCGTCCTCCTTTCTGCCAAGGAGGGTCGCGTTCGTATACGGCTTAGAGATCTCTAGTCAGATCGTTAAGCCAATTCCTAAAAGGTTGAGTTTAGTGGGTAAAAGTCTCCACATAAACACGCAGCCGGCTGCGTGGTATGCTATGAGCATTCTCAACCTCCCTCCCCCGCCTTCCGGGGGGTTGCCCATATTTGCTTCGGGCGCAAAAAAAAAAAACAGGTAGGACGAATTCGATTCTGTATGCAAGACAGTGCGTGCGTTCTGTTAACGAGTTTATAATAATATCTTATTGAGGATTATTTTTGTGCATTTTTCATAAACAAAGGGAGGTTTTGAATAAACACAGCGTTATTTCTCTGCGAGTTTACCCTGGAAGTCATATCGCTACTACACGATCAAGATATTATATCGCCTGTAATTAATTCCATCAGCACCTTCATTCACTCAACTGAATGTATTTATCTCTTCACAACCTACTGGCTATTTCCAATAACAATGTAGTAAGGGACTTTCAAAAAAGAACTTACTCCTTTCTAAAGGCCCAGCAACGCACCTGCAATTCCCCTGGTGTTGCGGTTGTTCGTGGGCGGCGGTAGTCACTTACCATCAGGTGAGCCGCATGCTCGTTTGCCCGCTCTTCTATAAAAACAAGAAAAAAAGACCTAACTTTGTGAGAGACTGGTGTCTCTTATAGATTATATATTAAAACCTGAGTTATAGGTCACAGGTTATAAGTTCGTTATTCTCTATAGCTCTCTGTTAATTTAATGCATTTTTTTAATAGGATAACGAAGGAAGGAAGCTGCCCATGAACAGTCGCAACACCAGGGGAATTGCGGGTGCGTTGCCGGCCCTTTAGAAAGGAGTAGGCTCTTTTCTTGAAGGTCCCCAGGTCACATCGGTCCGGAAAAATCATCGGTGGTAAGCAATTCCACTCAAATTGGCCAATATATTATAACAAGCAATCGTAGGGGGCATATCGAAAAATTTAAAATTGAAAAATAGGTAATAATTTTAAAAACGGAAGGTCATACACAGGTATTATTAAAATTACAAATCCGTTCTATTCTTGTTTATTCTTATTAATATAATTATTTTATTACTTTCTAGAAGAAGCAACGTCCAGATACGAAGTGATTAAGCATTGCAGTTGTTGTAAAAGTAAAAGTTTAAAAAAATTGTACTCACTAATATTGGCGTCCACTTCATTGGCCTTAGTGAAGATTGCCGCTGTAAAATTTAAATTAATATGTTATATAACGATATTTCGCTATTTTATTTTTATTTTTTATATATATATATATATATATAGGATGTAACAGGTCAACGGAATAGAAACCTATGGCACTGATATTTTACATTTTTTTTACATTAACATATTGTCATTGATATATCCATAAATACTCATAAAACAAATTGAGAGCGTATTAACCATTTCACTGTCCCATGAGTCATATATGAACATTTCGATTGTTTAACTATTGTGTCTATTTCGTGGACAGGGCAGTTGTTAATTTAAATTTCGATAGTTTTTATTTGATTTATTTATTTGGTTCAATATTTTTGTCATCGAATGTTTATTTCAAATTAGTGGTATTTATTGATAATTCAATTTCATGACATGAATTGAAAGGAGAAAATGTATCATAGGCTTCTATTCCGTTCACCAGTTACACCCTATTTTTTTCAGGCGGTAAAATAAATTATCTAGTATAATGTATAAACGAAATACCTCTGACTGACAGCGAGATCTCTAAAACTATACGACCCGATTGACTTCAATTTCAGTAGGTATGTATATAGTTACTACTACACTAATGATAATTTTGCAATATAGACGCTCACTAAGAACGGATTCTACTCATCTCGAACTTCATCACCATTTACCACCAGCATGTTTCATGAGCCGTGGTATATCATATACAAAAGCTATAATATAGAATACGCAATGTACTACGAAGTGAATATGATTTTGATATCAAATAATAAAAAAGATACACTATGTAGTGGTGATTACCCACAAATATCTTCAAGAAAAATAAATTCGTAAAGCGAGACTTTGAGCGCTCCTGACTTGTGTTCATGTACCCTACCCTAATACGATGTAAAGCAACGTTCACATTGTACAGAATTCCTTTTTTTTTTCTTTAATGATAATTTAACGATATCAAAGAAGTAAGCGAATAGGGCTGCAGGTGAAGTTCTCATCAAACACTTGATTTATCTTCTTTCTTCTTCTCTCATATATAAAAATCATGTCCTTTAGTCTCGCGAATTTTTTTGGAAAAACCCGTCTATGTGTTGTTGCTGCGCATAGACACCTTCTAGCTTCCGGGGCCTTTCAGGCTCGTTTTTTCTCCACACCACACGCCTACTTTCACGCTGGTATTCTGGATGTCCTCGGGCGACGATTCGTGACACTTATTTTTGCTAGCTAATTTGAAAATGGCTCGACCGATTTTCATTATTTTTTGTATGTATTTGAGTGGAAACTCGATCGTAGGTGGCGCCGTTGTCGAGATATAAAAATTACCCGTGTAAAGCCGGGGTGGAGGACTAGTTAAAAATAATATAAAGATATTAAGATTTTCTTGTAAATACATGTGAAAAAATTGGATAACACTTACTTATGTTGTCATTGATAGATATGGCTTTTGATAAAATGTTCACTGTAAAAAAAATATTCTTGTTAAGCATACATTTAAAAAAAAGTGAAAGAGTGTGCTTATGACCACACGACTGAAGTAAAACTTCTTTAGCTTCATCTGCGTATATTTGTGTATATATATATATATATATATATATATATATATATATATATATATATATATATATATATATGTGTGTGTGTGTGTGTGTGTGTGTGTGTGTGTGTGTGTGTTAATTCATAAAATCGTTCAAAACTAAATAACATTACGAAATAACTGGCTGTGAGAGAAAGAAAATGTGCTGCTCTCTCTTGCTTATATCCACTATACGCCTGCTCGATCACACTTTTCGTAACGCTTTCGTCACGCGTTCGCCAATTTACTCCCCAAGTCAAGCGTGCGTAAAGAAGTTTTACTTCGAAAATTGTATTAGAGATAAGTTACTAAGTATATGTGGATCATATCGTTCACTTAATTAAGCGGACTGCGTAAACCTTTTGTGGGGGATTAACCCGAATTTTGAAATAATAAAAGAGATTGTTTTCGTAAAGGTATATATAATGTGAGGGCCAAAGTTACAATCAACAAGCAGGGAGTGACGAATAAAATTACAATAAACAGTAATAGTGTCCTCCAGACCGAATTTCGGCCATGGCGACATGCCTCAACGGAGGCTAGCCATCGGCGCAGGACAGGATTATAGTGCCCAAGTGTATGCGCAAGCACAGGTGCACTCTCTATTCACTCACACTCATAATTCCGATAGGACTGTAAGCCGACACGACCGGAGAAATCAGGCGCAGGACCAACAGCTTTACGTGCTTTCCGAGGCACGGGGGTGAGACACCGCCAACTTCCTGACTCCGGGCAACTACTGAGAATTTCTTGACAGAAAAACTCAATAATTGAGTTTTTAGTCCGACCAGGGATTTGAACCCAGGACCTCATGATCAGCAATCGCACTACTACAACCGCTAGACCAACGAGGCAGTCAGATGAATGAAAAAAATAATATTTAGCGGAAGGTTGCAAAGAAATTTATATTTTTATTTTTTATTATAATGGATTTCCGCAAAGTAACGCCTGATTCTATCAATTATCTGAAAAAAATAAGTCAAATGAATAGTACAGTACTAACAAAGAATGTTATAATTAAAAACTATAACTATCTAAGGCGCATGTTTGCTAATAAAATGCATCAGGCGTCAACATGCCCCTGGCGTTGAAAGCGCGTCTTTCAACCAAAAGGCACAGGGAGCGGACGAACCTTGTTAAACGATCGTTGAATTAGTCCTACAGACGTTTTGATATCCTTTTTTATAGAATAAGGATGACAAACGAGCACACAGTCCACCTGATGGTAAGTGGATGCTGTGGTCCATAGACATCTACATTTATCCTCGATTAAGAATCAGAACACAGATGTGTTGTCACTCCTGAGGACTAAGATGGAATGCCTCGTTTCCAGTAAAAAGGGTCTCCGGATCTCTACACTCACCATACGAAACACAGCAGCATTTAGCTGCTATCTTACGCTGGTATTCTGTAAAAGCGTGGTCCTTCCCCGGTCGAGCCGACCCATTCGTGCTACAAACGTAATATAGCTGCAATGTGGCTCTACCACACGATTGGTTTTGTCAGGTCCAGGACAAACAGCAACGACTCGGCCCAACTTCCATTTCAATGGAGGGAGATTGTCTTCTTACACGACAACCAAAGAATTCAATTTCAAGGCATCATTGCTGACACGCCATTTCGTTCGTTGCTGGAGTTCAGAAACATACTCTTTACACCATCTATTCCAAAACTGTTGGCGGAGTTGCTCAATCCGTTGAAAGCGAGTCAAAGAGGTACTTTGATGACTTTTATAATATCTGTCTTATAAAGACGTAAACGGTCGACGGTAATGGAGTGAGAGGCCGAGACTTCAGTATCGCTTCAATTTGCACCAGCGTATTATTTAACGCCTCTTGAGTGAGAGTCGTGGTAGATCAGATGGTTAACGCTCGCTGTAAATATAACAGCACGAGAGTAACCCGGGTTCGATCCCCGCCGGCACCAATGAAATTGTTGATTGCAATTTTAAGTGCTGATTTACTACATGCTCAGCGGTGAAGGAAAACATCGTGAGGAAACCTGCATGTCCGAGGAATAAGAAAAAAAAATATTTCGAAGACATGTGAAGTTCGCCAACACGCATTGGGGCACCGCGGCGGATACTTCCTTGCCCTAAAAAAACCCTCTCAGAAAAGAAGGGAAGGCCTGTACCCTGCTGTGGGACGTATATAAGCTGTAACTTTAAGTGAGATTACAATTTCCCAGCACTTTTTGTGAATGAAACTTAGTTGACTTAACACCCGCCTCCCAGAGTCCACTCAAGTGTGGAGAATACGAAGGAATAAAATCGAAATTAATCCCATCATAACCATTTTTTCGAATCGCGATTGGTTTTTTAAAAATGTGGAAAGTTCACTGCACGCGCCAACAAACGAGGTACCGTTGTCAGAGTAAATACTATTTGGCTTACCTCTTCGTAATAAAAACTTTAGTAAGGTCAGTATATAACTAATGGAGAAGGTTTATATTTACAAAATAAAAAATTGAAAATTAATTTTATCGCGTTTAGTTTTCTTGATATTAATTCCGGGCCTTCCGGGTGCTATCCAGCACCCTTGACTGGGGTGACTGACGTCCCGATGTTAGTTTTACCCGGAGTACCTTCAGCTTTTTAATTATTAGTACTAGTATGACCGAGTAGGTTTTTTTAAGTTAAATTTATATAAATATTACATGAATAATAGTTTTTGATCTTATTGACATAATAGAAAAAACTGAACTGGTTATTGGTCCCAAGCAGATAGTAGTACCCAGCCTCCTTCTTCAAATTAGGATGAGTTTTATTTTATCCTTGGTAGGGATCGATGTCCTATCGCAAGTATTTGTGGTCTATCAAATCTGATGTAATGGTTGGGGCCGTCTAGGAATATGATCATAAACTGCAGAATTCCCAGAGGGAACTAAAAATCAAATAAATTAAACGCGATAAAATCCGTAAAAGTAGTTTCAATTAATGTGTACTGCTCGAGTAAATATAAGAAATCATTATAAAAAATTTTGAGTTCATTTGTTTTTTTTTTAATCATTCGCGGCAATCAATCAATCTAATAACATGCGCTAAAATAAAAAAATAACATTGCTGAACACAACCTATGATACTAACTGGCAGGAAATCATCTGCGAATTTCGGCTTGTATTTTATAAAAATAAAACGCAAGAGGTATCACTGACTGTATTGCCTGACTGCTCAAATTTAATTTTCTTTTTTTATAAATTACGCCTAATCAAATTTTAATAAAATAATTAATACACATTGATTATGAGCTGAGATAATCCTAGCGAAAATTATAGGTATCTAGGTTTCTTAAACCGTCTGCAAAAATTCGGGTTATTCAGGCATTCAGAAATGCGTGAAAATTGAATTACAAAATTTCATTGCAATCACACGTACATTGATACATACAGGTCAAGCTAATGAAATAGGAAAACATTATATTATCTGTGCAGTAAAGAAAACAAACTTTAATATGTACGAATTAATATCTACCATTTCTTTGCTAAGAGGATATCCATACCGTACAGTTCGTACACATGAGATGATGATAAGTACAACAGATTGCTAATTAAAATATAAATATTCTATCAACAGTAATTAAAAGGTTAAGTTAAAGTTACAACCTATTTACGTCCCACTGCTGGGCACAGGCCTCCTCTCATTTCTGATAGTGTTTTAGGAATAGGAAGCGCCCGCCGCGCTGCCCAAATGCATGTTGGCAAACTTCACATGTCTTCAAGGTTATTTTTATTATTATTCAGACTTTTTAATAGAAGTGACAAACTTACAATGCACCTGATGGTAAGTGGCTGCTGCAGTCAAGGGTCAACAGCAGCAAACTTCAAACGCAGAAGGCTACAGATGTGTATTTGAGGACTATATTGGAATGCCATACAGCCTATTCTTCGGACATTAGGATGACTGTTGGTACGTTTGTCACATCGGTTTTATAAAAAAAAGAAGAACCTCGTAATTTTTTTCGAAGTTGGCCAAAAAGTAAATGTAACAATCAACAATCTTAGTTAAACATACTTACCTTTTTGAAAATCGGTTAAGGTTTTTTCGATCTTCTCTGAAAAGTTAAATATTAATGATTATAATTAATATATTGGTTTGCAAATCCGTTCTTGTTATGTGACGTATACATCTACATCTATCCCCGATTAAGTTAAAAATTAATGCAGATGCTTTGTCAACCCTGAGGATTAAGATGGAATGATTAGTAAAAATGGTCTCCGGTTCTCTACACTCAACCATTCGTGCTAAAATCAAAATGTCATCAAAAACATAACGTAACTTAACTAAAAAAAAAACAAGTCTCGCAACTCAGTTCTTTTACCGTAAAAAGTTGTGAGATCCACGTAATACCAAGTCGGTTAATTTATTCAGTCCCTACTTAAGGTTTCTTCTGTTTTAAGTTATTACGTAATTAGCTAATCTTACAACATTTTATAGTAACCGTATCAATTTAAAATTCTTTTATATTTTAAATAAATAGGTTGACTTGGGCCATCGCATGAAAACACAATGTATCTCACAAGTTATACATATTATATTAAATTAGATTGTTTAGTGTGTCAGTCAGTCAGTGAGTGACAAATTTAAGAAACTTTGCCTAGTTATAATTCTTAAATTACTGGTTCGAACTGGATGAAATTTGAAATATACCGTGTTTATACAATGCGTGCTTGGTTAATGAAAATTCAGGCTTCTAGTTCCTTCCACAACGAAGTTATAGGGGGTCAAAAATGGCCTGAACTGCTTCCAGAAAAGGATGTTACGGCCGTGCCCCTATTTTGCTCGACTTGGCGGGGGCACTGCCGTGCCTCCAGATATAGCTGCGACGTCAATGTCACTACCGCATATAAACACGTGCATTCGCTTCTAGAACAATCCTTGAAAATATATAAGTGCTGTCTATTAGCAAGCTTCATTAATTCGTTTTTTACAAACTTTCCAAAATCCACTGCTGAACAAAAGCATTACTCATAGGTTGTACGGATGACATTTACCACATTAACATGCTTAGCAGCGTGGCTCACAGTACCCACTAATGATAAACCTATTATAAGTTGAAGTCAGTAATCAGAAATAATAATAATAACGATAAACAGGACAGTCCACTTCAACACCCCTGATATAACCATAGTATACAAAACACAAAAAACAGTAACATTAATTCATATAAATATATGTAATACCCATAACCTGTACCTAATCAACAATATCAGAAAAACTTACAAAGTACAGTAGAAGTCCGATAATCCGGCACGTTCGGGACCGGCTCGGTGCCGGACTACCGATCTATCGGGCGGTAATTGTTAGAACTTGTTTATAATTAAACTACAAATACAGTATGCAAATATGTATGTATGTACATACAACAAAGTTTATTTTACATTTCATATACATAATGTATGTACATGTAATGCTAACTAGCCGACCGCTAACTACGTAATTGTTTCCGAACAATACCGAGCGCTTCCGGATGATCCCGAACTACCCCGAAAACTTCCGAAATCTCTCGAGCGTTTTTATTTGCTTTAAAAACACACTTTCGGTGAAAACCGAAAACCAAAGAGCGATGCCGAACTGTTGGATGCCGGACTAATGGACTTCTACTGTATACAGATTCAAAGATGAAATAAAACGTATGTGTGCAATCTCCAAACTGTAAGTATAGTACCCATAGTTCTGTCCACCACAGGGGTAATATACCCCTGTGGTGGACAGAACTATATATATATAACCTATAACTTTGCCACCAGTCAATCAAATCTCTCGATCTACCAGACCAAATTTTTGTTAGTTTACAGAAAGCTGTAATCCTAAACACATGCCGAATTGTCAGAAAGTTTTTGCAGTGTTCAGGTAATGTCAACTTGGCTTAGACCCGTGAGCATCTTTGTTCCGGTAGTAATACCGAGGGTGTTACTACCGGAACCGGTAAAAAGTGACCTCAAAAATAATAGTAATGTGCTCCAGAACGAATTTCGGTCACGGCGGCCGACCTCAACGGAGACTAGCCATCGGCGCAGGACAGGATTACAGTGTCCAAGTGTATGCGCAAGCACAGGTGCACTCTCTATTCCCTCACTCTCATAATCCGACGGAACGGTTACCTAACCGTTACAAATGGAGAGAGATCAGGCGCAGGACCAACGGCTTTACGTGCTTTCTGAAGCACGGGGTTGAGACACCGCCAACTTCCTACACCGGGCAGCTATTGAACATTTCTTAATGGAAAAACTCAATAACTGATGATGATTTTTTTTGGCTCGATCGGGGGATTCGAACGAATCACACAACCTCCAGACCAACGAGGCAGTCAGTAAGAAACATGACTTAAAACGTAAAGGTTGTCTCAGTTAATAACGTCATAATGAATAAATAAATGTATGCAATAAATTGAAAATAATGAAAGTGTATGAATATATAAAATAAATGAAATATAATGGCGGCCTTGCTAAAATGTATTTTGTTGAAAAGAATCGCGATTGTGATTTGAAGTTACGTCTTCACTTACATGACAAAAAAAAAGTAACAAGTATCATTCCAAAGAAACAAGTTTTTTCTTGTTTATTTTTAAACAGCGCTATTTTATTTCACATTTGAAGAAGTTTGTATTTTGTAAGGTTAAAATTTTGTGGTTTTTCTAGTTCAAAGTTTTATAGATTATGAACCAAATTTTTGGTATTGAATTTTTGACTATATGATCTTGAATTTCATAAAAGGAAAACACGATAACATGTAATTTTCTCCATAGAAAAAAATTGCAAATTAGACTCTAATTAATTACATTTCTTCATACCCCCACAATATTTTAACGAATAAGTTTATGGAATTATTTTTAAGGCATAGTAAATAATCTCTAATAAATAATCTCTAATCTAAGGAAAAGGGTCACAGCAGGACTGCAAAAACTACCGTGGTATCAGCTTGCTTAGTATTGTGGGTAAACTGTATGCTAAGGTGTTAATTGAAAGAGTTATGAAAGAAACTGATGGAAAAATTTGGGATGTGCAAGCGGGTTTTAGAAAGGGAATGGGGTGTACAGATCAAGTCTTTTCCATGCGCATGATTGCGGAGAAGTTTTTGGCTAAAAACCAGAAAGTTTTTTGTGCGTTCATGGGCTTGGAAAAGGCTTATGACAGAGTGGACAGGAATGTGTTATGGCAAACACTGAACTCATATGGGTTGAGCGCTGGTTTGATACAGGCATTGAGGTCTCTTTATAGGGATTCTAGTGCTTGTGTCAGGATCAATAGGGTCTACTCGGACTGGTTTGGCATCCGAAAGGGTGTCAGACAGGGCTGTGTGGCTTCCCCTTGGCTGTTCAATCTATTTATGGACAGGTGTTTGCAAACTTTGAAAGATGAAGAATGTGGGTTAAGAATGGGCGAGTTAACCGTCAAATGCCTTTTGTATGCCAATGATCAAGTCATATTTGCGACATCGGCGGCTGAGTTGCAAATGATGGTTACATTAATGAACTGGGCATTAAAAGAAAGGGGAATGAAAGTGAACGCAAGTAAGACGAAAGTGACGGTTTTTGAAAGAGAGGAAAGCAAAACGGTATGTGAAATAAGAATAGAAGGAGAGTTAATTGAGCAAGTGGATGAGTTTGTGTATTTGGGATGTGTATTTAGCAGGGATGGTAGATATGATAAGGATATAGAACGACGAGTAAATGCAGGGAATAGAGTGAATGGGGCACTACACTCTATTGTGAAGAACCAGAATGTATCAAAAAAGGCACGTATGGTAATTCATAATGCTGTGTTAGTCCCTACTATAATGTATGGTAGTGAAAGCTGGGTGTGGCAGAAGAAGCACGAAAGTAGAATAAATGCTGTAGAAATGCGGTCTTTAAGGAGTATGCTAGGGTTGAATATGAATGACAGGATGAGAAATTGCATGATAAGAAATAAATGTGGTATGCAAGATGATGTTGTGACCAGGATTAAGAAAGGAATGCTTCGATGGTTTGGTCATGTAGAAAGAATGAATGAGGAAAGAGTGACAAAACAAATTTATATGGCAGATGTGAACGGCCGAGTCGGGAAGGGACGCCCTAGAAAAAAGTTTATCGACCAAATTGGCGATATTTTGAAAATGGGCCACGTTGAAAGTACCCTTAACCGACGAGCATGTATGCGTAGATATATGGATGTAAAGGAGGCGAAAGAGGTATGTCAGGATCGTGTCAAATGGAAGTCCTTGGTCTCTGCCTACCCCTCTGGGTGACAGGCGTGAGTGTTTATGCTTATAATGCTAAATAATCTCAACAACACCCATATGTAAACCATTTTTGTAATTTATCAAGTTTTATTTTAAAAAATGACCCTCGACGTTGACGCTTACAAAGCATTTTTTCCGAGCGTGTGCTCGGTATAGCTATCTCACAATTTGCGTATTATGAACTCATTGCATCACTTTCATTTTGACACTCCCTCAATCGCTAGTGAGATTCGCCGACAAAGGGATAAGCCACGCCCTCAAAACTAATCAAGGTATCTTCTTAAGTGGCTTACAATGCTCCATAATAACATAATTATAATTTTGCTTCTAAAATCTGTAAACCACTTCACATTTTGAATGATTTCCGGATCTATTATTTAAATTAGAAGTGTTAAGTCCAATCTGTATAGGGTTTCTTTGTACAAAATATTAATTTGATAAAGTAATTAATTATATTTCTACCGCGTTTACTTGGTATTAGTAAAGATATTGGTAAAAAAATGTAATTTACTCCATTGTTTTTTCAAACTGCCGTGGAAGGTATAAGTGTGGCTCACGATACCCGCTAATAAAAATAATACTAAACAGGACTTGAAACATAGAGGTTGTCTCATTTAATAACGTCGTTAGAAGGTAGTTTTGCGGAGAGATCAGGTGCAGAACCAACGCTTTTACATGCTCTCCGAGGCACGGGTGTGAAACATAACCTGTAGGGGTTAAGCTGGACAAATGAAAGTGCCTTCACTCTTCCAAGAATAAGTATATTTTTAGGGTTCCGTAGTCAACTAGGAACCCTTATAGTTTCGCCATGTCTGTCTGTCCGTCTGTCCGTCCTCGCTTAATCTCTGTGACCGTTAGCACTAGATAGCTGAAATTTGGTACCAATATGTGTATCAATCACGCCGACAAAGTGGAAAAAAATGTTTTATTAGGGTAGCCCCCCTATATGTAAAGTGGGAAGTGATTTTTTTTTTAATTTCAACCCTAACGTGTGATATATTGTTGGAAAGGTATTTAAAAATGAATAGGGGTTTACTAAAATCATTTTTTGATAATGTCAATAATTTCGGAAATAATCGCTCCAAAAGTAAAATACAATGTGTCCCCCCTCTAATTTTTGAACCATAAGTTTAGAAAATATGAAAAAAATCTGAAATGTAGAACTTTATAAGGACTTTCTAGTAAAATCATTTTGAACTTGGATGGAAACAACAGTACCCACTACCGGGAGCAGTTGCAGGAGCGCGGAGCGCTGCTGGAGCGCGAAAATAATGGATACCACTTTAAACTCATAAGTGGGAACACTTATTGTGACGGACGGGAAACTACGGAACCCTACACTGAGCGTGGCCCGACACGCTCTTGGCCGGTTTTTTTTTTTCTTTACACAAGGACGATTTACAATAGAGATATTATAGCACAAAAAAGAGAAGTTAAGAATCAATACAAGTAATTAAAAGCACAAAAAGAATTTAAGACATGAAGCCGGAAATAAGTTGTCGCGTAAAAGGCAACCGTTACTCCGGGGTAACGCTGCTGCCGGTAAAAACGAAGACGCCCGAACTGTCACGAAAGCAAACCGAAAGTAGCCGAACATTTTCGACCGCAACCGACACGAACATCGCGTCGGCGTGTGCGACGTTCAATATATAAAAAAATTAAATTGCATGTCGCCACACACCAACTTGCTGTTGGGCTGCTAGTGCGAAGAAAAGATGAAAAACTTATTTTGACCCGACCCTTGATTCGTACCCGGGACCGCATTATCAGTAGTCGTGGTTACAAACACTTTTTTTTTTAAACGTTACCCCTACACTAGGATTTTCTCCTGTATCGTGGGGGCAGTTTACAAACATAAATTGCACAAGGACAAACATCCAGACCCGGAACAGTTATTTGTAGGCCATACAAATACTTGTTCCGTGCGGGATTCGAACCCGCGACCCCCAGCGCAGCCACTCATTTCTAAGCCACTGCGCCACGGAGTCGTCAACACTATACCAACGTAGCAGTTAACAAAATATACAAATATTAAGGGAAAATGAAAGGTTGCTAAGTAGCAATAGATCCGGTACATTCAAATTCTTTCAGACAAGCCAAAAGATATAAGAAATAAAATTAATCGACTTTTCCGATACGATACGACTTAGAGACCTCCAACAAAAGATCTTACTCCTTTCTAAAAGGCCGGCAACGCACCTGCAATTCCTCTGGTGTTGCGGTTGTTCGTGGACGACGGTAGTCACTTACCATCAGGTGAGCCGCATGCTCATTTGCTTTCTCCTCTAAGTATTAAAAAAAAAGATTCACGGTAGGGTGCACTATACTAATGGATGCCATACACGATCCAGTTTACCGACAAGTTTGCAGCGCGCTTGAAGTGGCGTCCGATTTGCAGCGCGTCCATATATAAAACTGCATGGTGCATGGTATCAATAATAAACGATAACAACTTATGCACTAAAAATAAAACAGACTTTAGGCGACAGATCAGTTACTATAAATGAGTTTAAAAAAAAGAAATATCAAAGACAATTATATTTTTTAGGAAGGGTAAAGAAAGTGAGCCGGTTAAGTAAAAGGAACCTTGCATTTGGGTCCAACCATCAATAATAGAACCAGTCTAAATATATCAATTGCTGTTACATATTTTGTATTACGTATACGTGGTCCATTGTTAAATTGGTCCCGGGTTGTGACAATATCAGTTAAAGGGATTTTTCGTCGAGAAATTCTCAGTAGAAGCCCTGAATCATTTATACGTGGTAGAGCTACGCTGCAGCTATATTATAGTTGTAGCACGAACGGGTTGGCTCGACCGGGGAAGAACCACACTCTCACAGAATACCGGCGTAAAATAGCAGTTTAAAAATGCTGTGTTTAGTATGGTGAGTTTAGAGATCCGAAGACCCTTTTTTACTGGAAACGAGGCATTCCATCTTAGTCTTCAACGGTGACAACACATCTGCGTTTTGATTTGATTAATCGAGGATAAATGTAGATGTCTATGGGCCACAGCATCCACTTACCATGAGATGAACTGTGTGCTCTTTTGTCGCCCTTATTCTATTTAAAAAAAATCTCTCCTATTCTCTCGGTTTCCTGTCGTATCAGACTGTGATTGTGAGAGTGTAGGAGTGTAAACCTATGTGTAAATTATAAAATTCAGCGTCCTTTATTTAGTTCTCAAGACTTGTCTTTTTCTAAAAATGTTAGATTTAAAGGCACTACTTTTTTACGATATTTTTATAGTAGAGGTGGCAAACGCATATGGCAGCATATGGCTCACCTGATGATAAGTGAATACAGCCGGCCACGAACAACTGTAACTCATACTCACACAATCGGCCACTATAATTCTGTCCTGTGCAGATGGCTTCGTTGAGATTGGGTGTCTAAATCGAATTCGGTCTGTGGGATATACATACTCGCAGGTCCAGCTGATTAACATTAGGTTAAGAAAGCATGTTTAAAATAATAATTACACATGGAAGAGTCATTCTGCTGTTATATTATGGTTGTAGCACGAATGGGTCAGCTCGACCGGTGAACAACCATATCCTCAGAGAATACTAGCGTAAAATAGTAGCTTAACGCTGTTGCTTGATATGGAGACCTATTTTACTGGATACGAGGCGTTCCATCTCAGTCCTCAGGCGCGACAACGAATCTGCATTTTGATCCTGAATGGGGGATAGATGTAGATGTCTATAGGCCACAGCATCCACTAGAAAGATGTTTGCTCGCTTAATATGTGTAAAAAAATATACGTATTGACTCACCGTTAATAGAATCGATGAACTTCTGTCTGATTTGTTCTGTAATATTAATTATATTACAAGTATATATCAACTATATCTTTATCTAATATATAAAAAATAATGTTTGTTTGTTCGTATTGTATGCGCTGCTATACCGTTAGTCAGATTGCAGTAAATTTTAAACAGTTCTCAACTGTCCGATTATTTTATAATGGCTTTGTTTACTACGACAGGATACATTTTAATGAATTATCGGTATTTTTACCGAATTTTACAGATTTTTCTCTTTTTTTTTTTTTTTAGTACTGTACATAGACCTGGCCCATTTTGAAACATTTGCTTTACAATCATATTTTCACAATTATTCCTTCGGCAGCAGCAACGCGTAGATTTTATAATTGTGTATTGCTTGCTCCAACATAGGAGATAGAATAGTTTCTACTATTGTGAATTTAAGTTTTTTTTTTAAATGACAAATGGTGATATGAAAGGGCAGAACAACGTTTGCCCGGCCAGTATGTAAAAAAGGCATCCATGACTTTTTCTGCCACCAGGGCGGCGTCACATAAAAATGAGGCGTATACTTGACAGATTTCATAGCGAGAAAATTATTTCATTCGAAAAATTTAAAGATTAATGTATGGAGTGTAGAAGTAAGGAGTACAGACTGTGTATTAAAAAGTGTCCATAGAAAACCGTTAAATAAGGGTGGCGCCACTATAGCTATGGGCTATATTTTAAAGAACGCACCAAAAAATATTAGTGGGATAGACGACTTTTTCGAGGTTATATTTACTAAATAAAATTATTTTAGATTTTAGAGCTACTGAGCAGTTTAGCAGCACACTTACACCGTCGACAACTGCTAAGTTCATTTCATCCCAGTAGCTACTCCAGCGCTGTGTGTGGAGAGTTTTTGAACTGTCATTTACTGCTTACAGATGACCACTTTTTCAACTATTCTACTATGGGAGTTGGTCCTCCTTACTTCTACATTCCATAGATTAATGTTTCTATCCATACCATTAGTTATATTTATATAAATTACATTAAAAATAAATAAACTAAAACCCCAGGTATTCATAAAAGTAGAAAAATTAAAATAAGAGTTAAAAATTTGCAAAAAATTGAGAGCGTACCCACCGAGACATTGTTTTGGGTAATAATTTAGTAATTTAGAAACTAATAAACTTTTATTTAAAACCAAATTTTCAATTAAATGACATTGTGTAACAGAACACTTCACCTCAGAGTGAACTAGCGACATCTGGTGACAGGAAGATTATTAGCCCTCATTGAATGGGTTAACATTTATTTTTTACTTTTTTCATTTTACTTGCCATACTCTGACATATTAGTTGCCAGTGTTGTTTAAAAAATAAAAGGTGACACAGATATTGCTTTTACGTGGTAAAGCGTATCATAGATGCAACACAAATCGGTCGCTTTGACCGGGAAGACCACGTTCTAACAGAATACCAGCGATCACCAGATTAAAAAAAAACTAAGTTGATATATCATCTTTCACACCCACAACCAACTTAGTACAAATAAAGCTATAAATTCCTTGTCAACTCTTAGCAATAAGATGGAATACCTCACAGCCGGTGAGTAGGGTTGCCACCCTTTGCCACCCGTGCCACCCTGTAGGGTTGCCACATATATAGTATCGTACTATATTCCAGTCAATTGTATTATATATTAAAGAAAAATTATATAGTACGAATAATACTATATTTTTATCCCTAATTCAATTGTTGTGCTTTTTATATTAACTGTGATTAGAAGTCAGAAACAAGAAAGTTTTACGGAAATAATATTTACCGTCATGATAGTTTATTATTATATTAGATGATATAATAATTTTATTAAAACTAATTGTTAGTTTATTTTATTATGAATATAAATTGCTCAGACACGTATAAATATTTTAAAGGAAATAGATAATTGGCAGCCAAAGCAAAGAGCAATAACAAATATTAAATAGAAAAGTACATAAAGATTAGAAATGAATGTGTACTTCTTTTTCTCCTGAATTTCTAAATATTTGCAAACTTTTTGGGAAAAATATTATATTTGTTCAAAAAAAAAGGCGGCAACCCTACCTGTAAGGATGCTAGCTTTCTATAACCTTCGAGACTGGAACATAAATGCCCTTTGGGGGAAGAAATAGATAAACAGCAGTTTACGGCGGCCAATGTCACAGTTTACGTGGACATTTTAGGCAGCCGTGGCACGGACATTTTAGGCAGCAGCTTACGGCGGCCAATGTCATTGTTTACGTGGACATTTTAGGCAGCCGTGGCACGGACATTTTAGGCAGCAGCTTACGGCGGCCAATGTCATTGTTTACGTGGACATTTTAGGCAGCCGTGGCACGGACATTTTAGGCAGCAGCTTACGGCGGCCAATGTCATTGTTTACGTGGACATTTTAGGCAGCCGTGGCACGGACATTTTAGGCAGCAGCTTACGGCGGCCAATGTCACAGTTTACGTGGACATTTTAGGCAGCCGTGGCACGGACATTTTAGGCAGCAGCTTACGGCGGCCAATGTCATTGTTTCCGTGGACATTTTAGGCAGCCGTGGCACAGTTTATACCAGAACGACTGCGACGGTAATCTCTGAATGTAATGAATGGAACTTTTTATTTAAATAGTGTTAGTTATGACAATTTTTTGTTTTTATAGCAGAAGGGTGACAAATGAGCACACAGTCCACCTGATGTTAAGTGGTTGTTCTGGCCAATTGCAAAATACAAATGCGTTGTCACCCGTGAGGTATAAGACGGAATGCCTCGTTGCCAGTAAAAAGCGTCTCCGGTTCTCTACACTCACCATACGAAACAGCAGCCTTAAGCTGCTGTTTAGCGTTAGTATTCTGTGAGAGCGTGGTCCTTCCCCGGTCGAGCTAATGGAGCTGCAGCATGGCTCTACCACGTAAACAAATATTTATTATTATTATTATATCGGACTTCCCCAAACGCAACGATGCCACGCTGAGCTGCCTCGCTTGTTTCGGCAACCGCAGCATTATATTATTTTGAATTTTTTTTTTTTTTATTTATTAAAGCATCACCAACATTTGTATACATTGTTAAATTATAATTTACATACATACATAGATAGGGTATTACTTTAAATGCTACAAACTATTATAGTTTATTACAACATGCACTGGAATAAACATCAAGAATATTACATAGTTACAGAAAACCAAAACGTTAAAAAAAAATACAAAAACTTAATCTATTACATTTGCATAATGTTTGAGTAGTTCTTTTCTGAGCTTGTTAGGTGAGTCGGAATTAATATCAAAAGAGTGGGGAAGTTCATTGACCTATTTACTTAACCTAGAGATCGGGGAATTAGCGCCAAATACTGTTTTACGAAGAGGTGATCTAATAGTAATTACTCTCTTACGGGGGTATCTATGAGGTACGCGAAATTTTATCTTATTCAACAATTGAGGGCAGTTAATTTTATTATTCAATAATTTGCTTACGAAGAGTAAGTCGGATATTTGTCTGCGATTAGCCAAGGACGTAATTTTGAAAAAAGATAGCTGTTTTTGTGAATTGTTGGGCTATTTCACCAGTAAACCTGAGTTGCCGTGCTTGGAAGGCGGGTGGGTCTGTCTCCTGTTGCAGTTTACCTCTGCCGCACCTACGACACCCACAGGAATATGGTGTAGCGGATTATACCACCACTACAAGGCATAATTTAAACGACAAAACTGAATATTTTACGTGGTAGAGCTATGCTGCAGCTATATTGTGGTTGCAGCACGAATGGGTCGGCTCGACCGGGGGTAGGACCACGCTCTCACAGAATACCAGTAAAATAGCACCTTAATGCTAATGTGTTTCCTATGGTGAGTGTAGAGAACCGAACCCTTTTTACTGGAAACGAATCATTACATCTCAGTCTTCAGGGATGGCAACGCGTCTGCATTTTGATTCTTAATTGAAGATAAATGTAGATGTCTATGGCCCACAACCACTTACCATCAGGTGGACTGTGTGCTCGTTTATCACCCTTATTCCATTGAAAAAGTAATTATATCAATATTTAAAATACTTACGAAGGTGGTTAGTGTGCACTTCACCCTGTTTCAATATATTGGCTAAAAGAAAATAATTAAGATTGTTAAAGTGAATTCTTTATGCACGTTAAGCACTTCTGGGATGGGGAAAAGGCACTGAACTCTCGTGAACGTCACGCTAAGTGAAATTATGAACTGTTCATTTCTGACGTACAGTCCTACGACTGTCAGTTTTATTTTATTTTTTTTGACCATTTAAGCCCACTCTTTACTTCGTGCGTCATTATTTATCGTTCAGTGCTACTGCTAGTTAAAATATCCTTTAATTTATTATCTATGAAAAACAGAATATTTCATATTCAAGATTGTTACAGTTACCGTTGCCCCGCCCCCTCCCATAAATTGCCTCACAATAGTAACTAGTAGGATAGTTGCTATCATTAACTTTCGTCTTACTTGCATTCACTTTTATTCCCCTTTCTTTTAATGACCTGTTCATTAATGTAACCATCATTCGCAACTCGGTTTGCGTACTTTTTTACTTTTCAAATTAAAAAATTCAAACGTTTAATTCAAAATTATGTTTTATTTGACCAACGATTTAGTTTTTCTTCACCGCCGAAGATTTGGTAAATCAGCACTTAAAATTGCAATTAACAATTTCATTGGTGCCGGCGGGGATCGAACCCGGGTTGCTGGCGTACTGTGAAATTTACAAAGAGCGCTTAGCCTCTGATCTACCATGGTTGTATAATGATTTCTTATATCTACACGAACACTACACATTTAAATAAAACTAATTCTTATGGATTTTATCGCGTAAGTTAACTTTTTTATATACCCGACGTTTCGAGTATTTTGCTGCACCCATGGTCACAGGGTGGAGGGGGGGGGGGGACTGAGCGCTCGACATCTCAATGTCTTAGTTAACCACGGTTACCTCCAGATTAAAATTATTAATTTTGTTCCCATCTACGCAATATGATCTTACCTATACTATCTTGTATTCTTGCAGTTGTGTGTTTGGGTTGGGATTTAATTTAACTAACTACTCGTATAGGATCCCAAGCAGATGGTAGCACCCAGCCATCTTCTCTATTGAAATTAGGACGTTTTTTGATTTCAATAGCCTCGCGAATCATCCTTGGAAGGAATCGGTGTTCTTTAGCGAGGATTTGTGGTCTATCAAATTTGATGCAGTGACGGGGGCGTACCACGGTTACGTGAAACATAATTAATTACATTCAAAACGAAAATTGAGTTCTGCGTATTGGGTATAGAGAGTGCACCTGTGCTTGTGTATACGACATTTGGGCACTATAATCCTGTCCAGCGCTGATGGCTAGTCTGCGTTGAGACAGGCCGTCGTGACCGCAAATTAGGTTTTGGGGATATTATCATCAGTTGGACTGTGTGTTTGTATGTCGGCCTATCCTCTAAAATATAAACTATTTTCATACTTACCAATCACAGTTGAAATAGGACTTACTGCAAAAATATCTTTAATTAGTTTCGATGTCAACTTTAAATCAGGTTAAAAAGATTTTGCTTCATTAACCTAATCCATTACATATAGCATACAAAAGTCTCTGCTAATACTACGTCCCTGCTGAACATTGCCTCCTGCATAGACTACCCCTAAGGGGTGTTTTGTCATAGCTGACGCGCCTGACGAGCAGGTCAAGGTCAACCGCAGGAAGTTGTTGCTGTCCATCACCTGTTTTAATCGTTCTATCACCTCTTAACACACCCACGGGAATATATGGCATCGTGGATAGTCTTACACCGTTACTACACTGTTTGTGTTATTACTTCTGACGTCATTTCCGATTATTCAATTTGTAGCAATTTTTTTTGTATCATATATATTAGTAACATTTATTTTCCGCTTTATTTATTTCTGTATTTTTTTTTAATAGGAGAGAGAGGGCAAATGATCATACGGCTAACCTGATGGTAAGTGATTACCGCCGCACATGAACACTGCAACAACAAGGGAATCGCATATGCGTTGTCGGCATATTAAAAGGAGTAGGCTCTTTTCTTGAAGGTCCCTAAGTCGAAAAATCTCTGGTGTTAGTAGATTCCATAAGGAAGTTGTGCGAGGTAAAACACTTTTTTTTTTAAATCGCACAGAGGTGGACCAGTGAGTTTAGTTGCTATGTGCGATGGTGAAATATGAAGTCTAAGTTGTTCAATTTATGCTATTTTCTTCAATTTTTAAAGCGAATAAATCAGCCATTATTATGAAATTCCCACACCTTGTTCTGTAGTAGCTGTTTACTGCAGATTTAGTTGAACTGGGTGCCATTTAAGTACAAATTTTTTATAATTTAATTAATCTGAAAAAACTATATGTGTGTACCAATTAGGCACTAAATCCTGATTAAGAGGTAAACTAGTTAGGATGTCTAGAATTACGTAAAGTCCAATTCAATGATCAGTCAGGGTGACTAATCACTTTCTTTGCACTGCTCCTTATTTAACAGTGTACCAGTTATTTAACAATAATTACCAATTATAGTACGTGAGGATACTATGGTCATTCGGTTAACATGGTATCTTGCTTGTTTGCATTGATGATACCATAGCTCTTCATCAATCAAACATTAAGGGGTCAAAATGGCGCTACTTCATCGACGCCATTTTGACAGTTGACATTATAGTAAATGTTTTAGTCGATTGTAGTATTTGTAGAGGGTCGTTAATTTTCTTTAGGTTGATTTTTCGAAGTGTTCCTAATTATTTCCGGAGCTTGTTTGCTATTTTTTTCTTGATATGTTAGTTATGGTATACCTACGACCTTATGTTTTTGTCTCTGTTCTCCCGCCAGTTTTGGTTTTATAGGGCGGCAAAGCTTAAGGTGATCATATTATTCTCACGTAACTTAGTACCAGTTAGGTACTAAAATTTAACTCAGTCATCAAATTTCTCTTATGGTCCAGAGGTGCTGACGCTCAGGATTAGTTATTATTAATCAGATTTTTATAGTTACGGAAACTTGTATTGCTTATGTATTGTGCTAATACTGAATAAATAATGAATGAAAGAAAGAAAAAATTAAAAATATAATTTTTTTCTTTCTTTCATTCATTAATTTATGGGAAAACATGAGATCCTTCTGATACTTCCCATAGTCCCCTCTTACCATAGCGAGGAGAAGAAATAGGGTTTTAGACCACCAACGAATTATTTACATAATGTTTGTCTTACTATTAGGGGTGGAAGCCGTGCAGAAAACGACGCTGATCTGTAACAGAAAAATTAAATCCAAAATATACAAAAATTAGGTTCAAAAATCAGACCAAACATCCGGAAAATAGACATTAAACGGTTAACTGATATACGAGGAACTTTTTATAGAATAAGGGTGACAAACGAGCACACAGTCCACCTGATGGTAAGTGGTTGCTGCGGCCCATAAACATCTACATGTATCTTCTATTAAGAATTAAAATGCAGATGCGTTGTCACCCCTAAGCACTAAGGTGAAATGCCTTGTTTCCAGTAAAAAGGGTCTCTGGTTCTTTACACTCAACTATACTAAACATCATCATTAAGCTGGTATATTACACTGGTATTGCAAGCGTGGTCCTCCCCCGGTCGAGCTGAATCACTTGTGCTACGACCATAATATAGCTGCAGTGTGGCTCTACCACGTATTGCCTAGCAAGCTGCTTATCTTATTATTGGATAGGATTTCTTTCCAGGAAATAGAGTGAATGGGGCTCTACACTCTATTATGAAGAATCAGAATTTGTCAAAAAAGGCACTAATGGTAATTCATAATGCTGTGTTAATCCCCACTATAACGGATGGTAGTTAAAGTTGGGTGTGGCAGAAAAAGTACGAAAATAGAATAAATGCCGTAGAAATGTGGTCTTGAAGGAGTATGCATATGTGAACGGCAGAGTCAGGAAGGGACGACCTAGAATAAGGTTCATCGACGAAATTGGCGATATTTTGAAAATGGGCAACATTAGGAGTACCCTTAACCGACGAGCATATATGCGTAGATATATGGATGTAAGGGAGGCGAGAGAGATGTCAGGATTGTGCCGAATGGAAGTCCGTAATCTCTGGGTGACAGGCGTGAGTGTTTATGTATATATGTATAAAAGTACATAGCTGAATTAGAAAACAGAATAATTGGAATTAAAATTATTACATTTAGATTTACAATTGAGTCAAGGCAGCCTCCATCTATCCATGTATCATTCCATCACAGCCCTTAATAGTCCAATCACAGGCTTCCTCATAAATAGCCTGATAGGGCGATTTTGCCATAATTGCCATGCTTGGCAGGAAGGTTGGCAACGGCAGTTTTTTATCATCCAAAGTTTTTAATAGGAAAACGCCGCTGCCCATCCTTAGTTTCAGTTTACTTCTGTCTTACGACACACGGGATGATATGGGATAGTGGATATCCTTATACTGCAAGTACATGGTACAGAAGGCAGCCTTGTCTGCGCCCTTAACCGACCCTTGACCGACGAGAGTCTATGCGTGGATATATGGATGTAAAGAATGCGAAAGAAGTGTAAGTCAGTATCTGTCTCTGCAGTCGCTGCCTACCCTCTGGGTGACAGGCGTGAGTGTTTATAATATGATATTTATGATATGATTTCTTTCCTGCCTAAGAGTCCGTCTTGATAGTACCTAACTTGAAAATCCACCTGAAATTTACATTCCCTCATAGTAAATGTCTACTGCAGCCATGCAACTAAGTTTAACCCAAAAAGGAAGTTACAAATACGTTGTCACCTCTGAAGATCTTCCTCTAAGATGGAATGCCTCACAGCTTTTAAACATACTGGCGCTGTACACCGTTCAAACCTTAGGTAACTCTGGACCACGCTTTGTGGCATTCCTTGGGGGAGGCCTATGTTCAGCAGTGGAATTGTGATGGTGTGATGGGCTGTAATGATGATGATGATGAAAACATTTTTTTTATAGGATAGGGTGACAAACGAGCACACAATCCACCTGATGGTAAGTGGTTGCTGCGGCCCATAGACATCTACATCCATCTTCCATTACAAATCAAAATGCAGATGCGTTGTCACCCGTGAGGACTGAGATGGAATGCCTCATTTCAGTAAAAAAGGGTCTCCGGTTCTCTACACTCACCATACGAAATACAGCAGCATTAGGCTACTATTTCACGCTGGTATTCTGTGAGAGCGTGGTCCTTCCCCGGTCGAGCCGACCCATTCGTGCTACAACTATACTACTAATATAATTGCAGCATGGCTCTACCACGTAAAAAACAATCGTAAAACTCTACAAGAACTGGGGGACCCTTCACTAGATTGATCCCAATAAGAAATGCAGGAAGCTATTAAATAAAAACATTTGTTCTTACCACAAGAAACACGAAAGCACTTTTCATTTTGGTAGCACTGTAGAGAACTTTTTACGAATAATTGACCCTCTCTATCCAAGTAATCCAAATACGATCAATTTAACAGCCCGCTCGTATTTATAATACAGGTAATAAAATATAGATAATAAATATTTTATGGGACATGTGCGTCACGATCTTCACAATCTAATGTTGCAACATCGATTGTATTTTATTGATATTTTAATTTCTTTTTTTTTTAATATATTATAACGGTGACTATCGTTAGTCGTGTACACAGTCTATCTTATGGTAGGTAGATGCTGTGACACATAGACATCTACATCTGTCATTGATTAAGAACTAAAATGCGTTATCACCCCTGAGGACTAAGATTGAATGACTCTTTTCTAGCAAAAAGCGTCTCCGGTTCTCTACAGTCACCACACTCTTACAGAATATCGACGTAAAATAGCAGCATAATACTGTTGTGTTTCTTATGGTGAGTGCAGGAGAACCGTAGACCCTTTTTACTGGAAACAAGACATTCCATCTTAGGCCAGAGAGTGACAACGCATCTGTATTTTGATTTGTAATCGATGGTAGATGTAGATGTCTATGGGCCACAGCAACTACTTACAATCAGGTGGACTGTGTGCTCTTTTATCACCCTTACCTTTAAAAAAATGCATATAATACCGCCATCTATAGGAGCTTTCGGGCATTTCACACTGTCGCTTTTTGCGACCCACGGGACGAAATGTAGTGAAGGGTTCTTAAGCAGTGCTACCATAAGGTACACACAAATAATCAGTCTTTAAATTTAAGTTTACAGATTTTATAAATATTTTTTCAATCAAAAAATCGTTCAATTCTGTTTATTTTAACCTTATTCCCGTTATTTATTATTTAATATTATTCCCGTTATTTGTTTATTTATAAAAGGGCATTTAATTATAGTACGTAAGGGTACTATGGTCATCCGGATAATATGGTCACTTTCTTATAACTCAAAAACTACAGCCTTGTTTACATAGATGGCTGTGATATACGTACGATAGCTCTTCATCGGTCAATCGAATAAAGGGTCAAATATGTGCCATTTTGACAGTTGTTATTATAGTAAATATTTGAGTCGATTTAAGTATAGTTTAGTGTAGTTAGTTTTTTTTTAAGTTGATTTTTCGAAGTGTTCATAATTATTGCCAAGGCTGGTGTGCTCTTTTTTTCTTAATATGATAGTTATAGTATACGGATTTGCGTTTTTGTCTCTGACCTCCTCCTAGGTTAAGCTTTATCGCCCTATAAAACCATATAGGGCGGCAAAGCATAACCATGCTACGCTCACGTACCTTATTTAAAATCATATAATTCACAATAGAATGGCTGTCAACTTTATTTTGTACGAAGTTTGCGTCGCCAAACCCGATTCGCTGTGTTAACAGACTGAGTAAATTTACACATTTTAAACTTTTTATTAATGTATAAGATCATCATGTTTAAATTTTAATACATATTTGTTTGTAAATAGGGTGCAATTTGGCATATTCTAAGTAATTTGCATGCGAAATTTGGAAACGATTGTTACGTTAAAACACATCCCGTGACATTAATACGTGTGAATTGACGTGTTAGTGACATTTTAGTGGCTACACCGGCTTCACCCACTCCCCCGTTCTATTATGTATGTATTATAGTATTCTATGATTAAAATAGTGGGCAAGCTAATATAACTAATATGTTTTTGATTATTATTTTTAACACAAAAATGAGACTACCGTTATCGTTACAGCCTATTAAAGTCCACTGATGAACATAGGCCTCCCCTTTAGATTGCCTCATAGGGGGAAATATTTGCCATAGTTGCCACGCTTGTGGGTTGGCAATCGCAGTTTTTTTATTTTTACTCATTATTAGGAAGACGCTGCTGCCTATCTAATGATATGTTTCCCTCTTCCCTCTGTCGCATCTTTCGCCACCCACGGGATCATATGGAGTAGTGGATATTCTTATACCGTGTTTCGAAGTGTAGATATGAGGCATTCCATCTTAGTCCTCACGGGTGACACCGCATCTACATTTTGATTCTTAATCAAGGATAGATGTAGATGTCTATAGGCCACAGCATCCACTTACCATCAGGTGGACTTGTGTGCTAGTTTGTCACCCTAATTCTAAAAAAATTAATACCAAGCGTTAGTCACTGTGTAATCAAACAGTTAATGATGTAGATAATAAAATTACTCATCACGAGCTATCATGAGTAATGTATTTAGCGAGCTTGCGTAATGATTTCACGTTATCGGTCGTCAGAAATATAATAATATGTCAATATAAAAATATTACATGTGAAATGTGACAAACCCTCTGTGTAGACAAGGGATGTAATTACCCGTCTCGTGTTACTGTTTGAAGTATATTTCGGAATATCACAAGGTCAAGATAACAATTAAAATGTTGTATAAATAGATACATTCAAATATCATCATCATTACATCCCTTCACAAGTCCACTGCTGAACATAGGAAGGAAAGTCTCATTCCTCCTCAGTCTCCTCCCCCAAGGAAAGTTCTGAGCCACCTGCATCCATCGACTTCCTGCATGTCTTACCAGGTCGTCACTCCATCTAGTGGGAAGCTGCCCTACACCTCGCCCATTAAGCTGCCACTCGAGAATATATTTTCTTTTTGTCGTTGTCGGTTTTTCGAGCTATGTGGCCGGCCCATTGCCACTTCAGCTTATTAATCTGTTGGGATATGTCGGTTACTCTGGTCTAGTTCTACTACGGATATCCTCATTTCTAAGTTTATCACGCAGAGAAACTCCGAGCATCCCTCTTCACATAGCTTGCTGAGCGAACTTTGCTTCCTCATACGGCCTGCATTCATAGATAATATATACGTATTGTTAGGAGATAAAGATGGTAAAAGTATTAAAGCTTATAGATTCAAAGAATCATTTACCAGAAATTCAAATTGTTTTAGAAATTCTGAAAAATATCTTCGTGCTAATAAAATATCTTGTGTCATCCGATATTTCGAAAATTCTTTACTCTTTCTTGGATATATTTACACAAAAACAAATTTCTTCGTGATATGATACTGATGACGAAATTATAATTTAATATCTATTCTATTTGTCAACCCTGAATATTGATTATTATATACTACAGAATATCCCAGAAATCGACGTCAACCCCAAATTCGGTGATAGGTCAAGTCATTATAGTTAACAGAAATATATAAAAAAAACTTTGCAACGTATTTTAAAGATTACAGGCATTTATAAAAAAAAAAACGAGAAAATCTACACCCCGCGATGGTCTTTAACTTCAGTTGCTGTGAATTTTAACTTTTTTAAATGTTTTTTTTTTATGGAGGAGGGGGCAAACGAGCATGCGGCTCACCTGATGGTAAGTGACTACCGCCGCCCATGATCAACCGCAACACCAGGGGAATTAAGGATCTCCTAGGTGTGCGTCGTTTGTGTTTAGCAGTGAACACATACAATCGCCGGTACGACATACTCCGCCGATCGTTGAGTCCCGTGTTTCCGTGAGGCGTCGAGGTCACCGGCCGCTAGGCAGATTCTTGGCACTTTAAGCGTTCCGTGCATTTTGTACCTAGTCGCGTTTTAAAGTGCCACCACCGCACTTCCCCCAACCCTTTTGTTGCAAAAGGGGTAGGCAGTGCCCCAAGTGTGGATAGCCACTTTTTATTATTACCACCATCCGCGTCGCGCATCATCGACCGGCTGGTATATAGATAGGGCCCTTGATTACCACTGACTGTTAGGGTAGGTTAGGACATGTCAGGTAGGGATAAGGGGGAACCCACCGGACCGAAAAGGTGTGTTGGATCGACCACTACCGGGCTAGCATGAGCAGGGGATAAAAATTTTATCCACCGATTATATCCACTGACAAGGGATAAAATTGTCTTATCCCTATGTCAAAGCTTTATCCACCCTGCGAGCATGGGCCTATGGTGGATATAATATCGACAGTAGATAAACTTATCCCCGCGCATAGATAATATACGATAGCAAAGATGTTTTATAAAACATCTTTGTACGATAGTATAAAGCTATAAACTATACTAGCTATAAACTTCTTTTAAGATTAAGTAGATTTACATGAACTTATATTTTCTTTTACCTTTTGTTTATATATTGCTAAACTGTTAATGATTTTTGTTAAACAATATGTCATTTATGATATTTGTTATATTTATTTTAAGCGTATTTCTGCCTTGTTTTTATTTTTTCTATTATTCTAATTCTTTTTTTATTTTCTTTTGTATAATATTTAAGTTAAGTAAAATTGCTTGTATCAAATCGCAGGTATTACTTCGCTTGTGATAGCATTTATTAAAAAATATGTGTCTAGAATTAAGCCAATTGCGAAACAGGACAATACAGACCCTTTGGAGGTGGTGTAACCTCTTGAGGAAATTAAAAAAAACTTATCCTCGCAATTACTGCCATTATAAGAAAATTACAAAATACATCAAAATTGATGTCTACTCTAAGTCACAAAGATTTAATTTTAATTGAAAATGATGAAGCATGAAGAATAAAAATGTAATGATGTCAAAGAAAACAAGGAATAAATAATTTTATAATCATGAGTATTGTGTTATTTGTATTCCTAATATTATGTATATTAGTTTTTAAACTTGTATTTAATATTATGTATATTAGTTTTTAAACTTGTATTTACCTACACAAGAGGCTAATTAAAGTATATTGCTCCCCACATTCTAATGATGGCCCCAATAACTTAGCTCAAGTATTTGCTGATTATTTGTTGTTTGAACAACAGCCATGCCATGGTCTTGAATCGTACCTCTCTCGTAGGTAACTACCATCTGCCAAGAGACTGAGATGTTACTATAGTTACATAAGCCACATGTATTGATTGCAAATATACGATGTTTTTGGACAAGGTGGTTGTAATAGATGCTTACTTCAATATGCACTGGTAGTCCATCCACAGAATTAATAGGCTTTAAAGCCTCATAGAGTTCTTTACACAAATACAAAACAAT